TGTGGTTCTTCTGTCTGAGGGACAGCGAGGAGGTCACTGGGACTCAGCACGGTGAGCAAGGGGTAGATAGTAGCAGAAAATCGGATCAGAAAGGTAGCCAGGAGCCATTGTTTTCTTTATAAAATTCTTCGGTACCTAAAATTGCTTTAATTGTTTATTTGATTATTTCTGGGGTTTTTTGACAGACACGAGTGCAAAGACATTTGCGTCATTCACTCACGGCGTTGTCTCTAGCCCTTCGGCTGGTGCTCTGCATATAAGAAGGAATAAATAGGTGACGAATGAATGAGTGAGTGAATGAATGAACCGAGGCACCTCCTGGCTGGGCAGCTAAGAATACAGGCCTAGGAGCTGGGCAGCACAGATCGGACTCTGTGCTTAGACCTTTCAACACAAAACGGCGTTGACAATATGCCACTGCCTCCTAGGGTTGCCATGAGGATTAACAGAGGGGGGGCACAGAGGGCATTCAGCAGAGCTTGGCACAGAATGGCTCTCAAGAATGGTGGGGATCATTACTGTCTTGTTGTGTTGGTTGTTATTCACAGAATCATACAATGGTCAGGAGCCCAGGCCCTGCAGCCAGACTGCCTGGATTTGAAAATCTGCTCTGCCCCTTAGGAGCTGTGTGACCTTGACCCAATTATTCACCCTCTCTAAGTCTCAATATCATCATCCGCGAATGGCCATCGTACACCTATCTTAGAGCACCTTGGATGAGGATTAAATAAATCAACATCTACAAAACACAACTGGTACAAAGCATTGCATGTTTGCTGTTTTTATTGTTACTATGATTATTATAATTATCTGTAGAGGTGGTCCGAGGAAGTGATCCCCTGGAGAGAATTTTGGAAACAGGAGGACGCTAGGGTTCCATAAATAAGCATCACCTTCAGAGGATTGTGAGGGCACAGACTTGTTTCGGGAGGGACAGGGGGGCGGGGGGTTGTTCATTCTATTTTATGTCTTAATCATTTGTGTTTGTGTGGGTGTGTGGCAGAAGACAGAGCACTGGTTTCAAGTTCAGACACACCCGGGTTCAGAACCCACAAGCTGGTGGCTTTGAACAAGTCATATCATGCCTTAAAAGCCTCAGTTCCCTCCCCTGTAAAATGGGATGATGATCATAGGACCGCCGGGGTGGAACTGTTGTGAAGATTAAAACACGCTTGGAAAGCATTTAGCTTGGGGTTCGGCACCCTCTAAGCACTCAGTGATTTTAGTCACCATCCAGTGCTGTCACTGTGCGCGCAGTAGGTGTGAGCCAGGCAAGCCAGTCGTGGGGTTGCTAATAGGACATCTCCGCGGCCAAGATGTGCTGAGCTCCCGCGACGTGCCACGCCCCCGCGACGTGCCACGCCCCCTTCCAGGCGCAGCTGCTGCTCCGAACAGCACACTCAAGAATTCTCCCCCTGCCCTGGCCAGTTTGGCTCAGCAGTTAAAGCGTCGGCCCACGGACCAGAGAGACCCGAGTTCGGTTCCCGCTAAGGGCACGTACCTCAGTTGCAGTTTGTCCCCGGCCCCAGTTGGGGTCGTGTGGGTGGCAGCCAGTTGATGTGTCTCTCTCACATCGATGTTTCTCTCTCTCTCTTCTTCCCTCTCTCCCTCCGACTCTGTCTGAAGATAAATGCAAAAATGTCTGAGTGAGGATTTAAAAAAAAAAGAATTCTCCCCTTGTGGAGCAAAGTGTGCTGGAAAGTCCACACATGTCACCCGTGGGGAGCCTGAGAAAAGACAGGAGCATATCTGCCCCCCCCCTTTGCTGGGGGATGCGCTGCCTCTGGGGGTGTCCAAGAGAAGGAACTCGGAGGTGGATACTCCTGGCCCAGGAGCCTGAGTGAATGTGGGACCAGGATTGATCCCCACACCCGGCAAAAGAGTTCCAAACCTCTGGGACTGTAGATAAAACATTAGGCGCCCTGGCCAGTTTGGCTCAGTGGTTGGAGCGTCGGCCCGCAGTACAGAGAGACCCAGGTTCGGTTCCCACTAAGGGCACGTACCTCGGTTGCAGTTTGTCCCCGGTCCTGGTTGGTTGTGCGGGTGGCAGCCACTTGATGTGTCCCTTCACATCGATGTTTCTCTCTCTCTCTCTTCCTCTCTCTCCCTCCCTTTCTATCTGAACAAAAAATGGAAAAATGTCCTCGGGTGAGGATAAAAAAAACAAAAACATTAGGCAAAGATGTTGTGGGGAAGCCGGGCCTTGGAGGGAGGCGCAGAGGCCCCCCCTTCAGCCCTTCAGGACCCTGCCCCCTGGCGGCTGGAGCACGGGAAGGGTGTGAGGCCGCAGGGAGGGAGCCTGCGTTTCTTCCCGAAGTGGAAGCGGACGCTCAGAATCGGCAGCTGAAACCCGGGTCTGGGTTCGCCTGGCACGACCTGTGTGACTGAGGCTTCTCCCCCCTGGGCCTGGTTCCAGAGTGCAGGGTGATGTCACCCTCGCCTTGGGTTGTCTGTGTGAGGGTTAACCGTGGGCCTTCCCCTGTGAAAGGGTGACAGCCAAGAGAAACCTGTTCCAGAACCTGGGGTCTAACATGGCCCCACACCCTCCCCAGGGTCTTTCCTTCTAAGGGAACCAGGCGCCCTCCCCTCCCTGGCCCCTGCCAGGCCTGGCCCCGCGTTTTCACCTGGTGACAGCCGGGGGAGTCACCGACCATGTTCCTCATGTGTTAGCTGACTCCTCTCCAGGTGGCTGGTCGGTCAGCAGGAGCAGCAGCTGCCTCCCTGCTCAGCTTCCCAAAACAGAAGGCTGGCCTGACCCCAAAATGCAGAGAATGTCCAGGGGGGACGAGACAGCAGGCACGTGGGAGGGTCACTGGACAAGACCTGAGCAATACAGTCCCCTTCTGGTTGCTACCGTGGGCTCCCAAGTCCCACTGGCTCAGGTTCCCAATCCTCAGCCCACTGTGTGGCTCAGGGTAGGTGGCTTTAGCTCTCTGAAAGAGAACTCAATGAGGTCATAAATAAAAGTGCTGAGCACAGGGACGGTACCCAGTCAGTGCTCAGTAAATGTGAGCGGTGACCATGATTATAAGAGGCAGGACAGCAGAGGGCTCCAGAGCCAAACTGCCCGGTTTGAATCCCCGCTCTGCCACTAACAGACTGTATACATGGGCAAGTTATGTCATGTCATCATGCCTCGGTTTCCTCATCTGTAAAATGGGGATACTAGTCCCTTCTTTGTAGGGTTGTGGGAGGATTCGATGAGTTAATATACATGAGTTTAAAACAGAACCTGGCACTCGGAACAGCAGATAATGCTAATGACACATGTGTTTCCCAGCTGCACCCCGTTCCCTCCCCAGAGCCTCGATGCTGCAAGCACCCTCCAAATGAGAAGGTGGGTGAGGCCATGAGGTTGTGTCCCTGCTTCCTCCCCAGGCTCTGTGGGGTTGTGGAAGGGAGGCCTGGAGAGGAAGGAGAGGGAGGGTCTTCCAAAATAATTGCTCATAAATAAATACAGTCCCAACATAAACACACCACCCGCTCAAATCTACAGCAAATCTAAGGGACCCAGATGCCCCCACTCCATTCCATCCCACTCACACGAGCCTCACCCGGCCCCAGCCCGGGTCCCAGGCCAGCCAGCTGTCCCCACAGTGTCATGCAGTCACCATCCCATCCCGCTGCAAACCAGCCAGCCTGGCCCAGCAGTAATTACAGAGAGAGCTGAGGCTTCCCGCCCAGCTGTGACGTCAGCCTGAAGCTTCTAGTCTGATGATCTCACCCCGAGTCAAGTGGGGACCCAGCTGCGTGGATGTGGGGTCCGGGACAGGGGCTCAGTCTCCTTCTCTGGGCTGGAGGGCGAGGCAGGTGGGCTTCTGGGTCAGTCAGTGCAGCTCGGAGCAGAGATTTTGAACAATCCAGATCCCCTCCGGGGCCCTTCCGCCCGTAGCTGTGCGCAGGAGCCAAATCCTGTGCCTCTGTTTCCTCACCTGCAAAATGGGGGTGGTGGAAACACCCCGTTGTTGTTGTGAGGGCTCAGTGAGCTAACATCTGCTCCCCGCAGGGGTAGGTGCACAGGAGGCAGAGATGGTGATGTTGTTCTCCTCCATATTATTATTTTTAGCCAACTGCCTCATGCTGGCGCTGCTTAACATCAAAACGATTTCTCAGCCAATGACTCACTGAATTCCTCAGCACCCCCATCCCACCCACCCCCTGGCGAAGGCGGGGCTGAGACCCAGAAGCCCACAGACGCAATGGCCGGCCTCAGATTGCCCACCTGTTGGGGACAGATCAAAGACTGGACCCCAAGCTCCCTCTCAGAGCCCCGGCGGGAGAGGCAGGGCCTCAGTTTCAGACCCCTCACCCCTGCCTGGGGACCGTGCCTGGTGATATCATTACGGTCATAACAATGATAGAAGCTACCATTAGTTCACAAGTCCCAGGGCAGTTTTCTCGCGGACAGGGGGATAATGCTAGTATCCTTAGGTCGCAGGACTGTCCGCGAGGATGAAGCGAATTCATGTTTGTGAAGCACTTAGAACAGGGCCTGGCACAGAGCAAGCGGTGTGCTAAGTGCGTGGGAGGATGGCCTGGTGGCTGCCTCAGGACACACCCACGAGCAGGCCGCTGTTAGACCCATTTTACAAGTGGGAAGACCGAGCTCCGAGCTGCCTGGGAGTAAAGTGACGGCCGGCAGCAGACGTTGAAGGCGAGCCCTGATAGCCTGTAGGTGGGGACTGCAACCCAGGCCCTCTGCCTTCAGTCTGCTGGGCGCCCGGGTCTCTCGTCCCCTTCTGCAGGTCCCCAGGGGGGAGGCAGGACGCAGCGGGCTCTGGGGAAAGTATTTGCAGAGGGTGACCTGAGCCTTCAGCCAGGCGGAGGGTTATTAATAGCCAGGTCTAAGGGCCCTGCTCCGGGAGGGCGGGCCGGAGAGGGAGGGGAGGGCGGGGCACAGCGGGGCGGGGCGGGGCGGGGCGGAGAGACCAGCAGAGAGGCTGGCGGAGCTGGACTGAAGGCCCCTCCCAGCCCCCTGGGAGCCCAGCTGGGCCCTCCTCGGATCTCAGGGACTAGTTCATCACCTCCGAATACTCCTGTGACAGGAGGCGCTTGCAAAACCCGCCTCCAGCCCCTAGCAGCTATAAATAAAAGGCTCCCAGCCCAGAAGCCAGGAGAAGTTTCTAGGCCTGCGTCCCGGGGTTTATTAAGCTCCTTGGCTCCACTCAAGACCTCGGCGGCTCTGGCGGCGAGCCTAGGCGGCCTGGGAGGGCAGTGGCTGGCTGATCGCTGGTGAGGCCGCGTGGAGAGGGGCGCTCTGGGATTCTGCAGGACCAGCCCGGGTCGCCTCTGGAGGCTGGAGTGGTTTTGGGGGTTGGGACCTCAGCCTGCTGTGTGCCTCCACCCTTGGCAGTGGATGGTGCAGCGACTTTTGAAGCTGAAGGATACGCTTGGAAGGCTAGCCCACCCACATCACCTTGCTGTGTGACCTTGGGCAGGTGGCTCCCTCTCTCTGAGCCTCCGCGTGAGCTCCAGCTCAGCATCTACCATGGGTGATGGTCAAATGCCCTTTCCCTGCCACTACCCAAGCCGCCTGCGTCGAGACCCCTTCCGAGACGCGCCCCTGTCCTCCCGCTTGCTGGATGATGGCTTTGGCATGGACCCCTTCCCTGACGACCTGACCGCCTCTTGGCCCGACTGGGCCCTGCCTCGACTCTCCTCCGCCTGGCCAGGCTCCCTGAGGCCAGGCACAGTGCCCCGGGTGCCCACCGCCACTGGCAGGTTTGGAATACCTGCTGACGGCAGGAGCCCCCCACCCTTCCCTGGGGAGCCCTGGAAAGTGTGTGTCAATGTGCACAGCTTCAAGCCGGAGGAGCTGATGGTGAAGACCAAGGACAGATACGTGGAGGTGTCTGGTGAGTGGGGATCAGGAGGGAGGCAGAAGGAGGGGGTTTGGGGGTGGCCGACCTCAGCCTGGGAATAGCCAAGAGGACTTCTCCTTAGAGGGGAAGCTGTGACAGCATGACACAGGTGACCTCATGGCTCAGGAATGCAGCCCACAGAGTTACCTTTAGGGAAGAATCTGAGCCGGCTGCCGGGGCTGGGGGGCTGGGGGGCTGGGGGCGCTGTGTCAATCAGAGACCAGGCAGGGAAATGGAAACCTGACAGAAACGAAACTGAGGGGGAATTTCACAGGAAGACTTGAAGCAGATACAGAAGGAATAACAAAACCAAGGAGAAATGGGGTTCCTTGCCCCCCAGCATCACAGCATAGTCTGGAAGGGCGTGTTGAATGCGGGAGTGTTGCTAGTGTTAATAACCCGCACAGGTTTCAAGGGGAACGCTCTCCTCGGCTCAGATAAGGAAACTGAGGCCCGAACGCCATTTTAACGACACTAATTGCTAACCTTGACTGAGCTCTTGCCACCCGCTGGACCCTACACTGAGTGCTTCCTCTGTAGCATCTCAGTTCATAGGACCAGAGCACGGGGGTCCTGTTGGTCTCTTATTTTTACAAATGAGGAAACTGAGGCACAGGGAGGTAACTCTCCCAAGGCCACCAAAGATTCAAACCCAGGCCGTCTGGAAACTGGAGGCCAGAAGAGAATTGGTCATTGAAGCACCTATTAGGTGCCAAGGGCTGGGCTCCACCTCTTATGTTCCTTCTCCCAAATACTTCTCACTCCATCCCCGAGAGGCAGAGGTGTCTGGTCCCATTTTGTGGCTGAGGCTGAGACCCAGGCCGCATTTGTCCAAGGTCACATTGTGAGTCAGCAGCAGGCAGAGTCTGGGCCTGCCCACGACTCCAGGGGAGAGGAGGCTGGAGTCTCAGCCCCGTGAGGCTGGGCCGCAGAGGAGAAGCTGCCTGTCGCTTCCCTCGCAATTAAAGCTCCATTAAAAAGAGCACATTCCCCAGCAGGCTCTGCCGGCCAGAAAATCAATAAAAGCCATTGCAAACACAGGCTGGGCAGGGACAAGCCCTGGCAGGGCGGTGTTCAGGGGGAGTTTCAAAGACCAGCAGATTGGAATTATAAGCATCAGAGGTTCTGGCAGGTGTGGTGGGCCACGAGTCAGGCAGGGGCCACGTGCTGCTGGAGGGGGTCAGCCAGGGCTCTCACGCTGGCTGGGGAGCGGGGCCAGAGTTCTAGAACCGGCTCCACCACTAATCAGCAGGTCGTGCAAATTACTTAACTGCTCTCTGCTTTGTTTCCTAACCTGGAAATTGGGGTTCAAAGGGCTACAATGGCATAAAGATTAAAAGAGGTGGTGTGTGCAACGTGTGTGCCTACAGTGCTTGAAACACACTGGCTGGTATTGTTATTGAAGTTGATGTTGTTGTTAAAATTCCAGCCACACGGTAAGGCTCCGCGAAATTATAAGCGGTAGACGGTCTTCATGAGACCTGGGTTCAAATCCTGCCTCCGCTGTTCATTTTCTGGATGTGGACAAGGAAGTCTTTTCACCACTCTGAACCTCAGTTGCCTCATCTGTAGTATGGGGATCTTATCTATCCTATAAGGCTGTAGGGAAGGTTAAATAGATGCAGACAATATATAATAAATGCAGAGAGTCTGTAAAATGGAGCTAATGATGGCTCGGTGATTATTCTCGCTGCTCTCTCCATCTTTCTTTTAACTAGGGTTCCAGAGTTTTCCACCCCAGGTTGGAGGGTTCCCCCATGGCCTGTGGCCCTTCCAGGTGACCTCTGTCCAGCCTGGGGGGCTTTTCCTCCATCCTCCTTCTTTTTTTTTTGTTAATCCTCACTGGTTTCCATTGATTTTTTTCTAGAGAGAGTGGAAGGGTTGGGAGAAGAGAGAGAGAAAGAGAGAGAGACAATGATTGGTTGCCTCCCTCATGCACCCCAACCGGGGCTGGGGATTGAACCTGCAACCGAGGTCTATGCCCTTGACTGGGAATTGAATCTGAGACCCTCCCGTGTGCGGGCCGATGCTCTAACCACTGAACCACACCAGCCAGGGCTCTAGGTGCTTCTTAACAAGTGGGGTCTAGCAGGTCCAAACCGAGATCCCAGCTAAGTACCTTACTAATCCAGATGCTTTGAATGAATTACGGAGCCTCAGTTTCCACGTCTGTAAAATGGGGTCATTGAGGAACTTAAATAAGACAAGGACAGACAAAGCCTTTTTAGATAGCAAAATTCTCACAGGTGTGCACTTAGCAACCTCAGCTTGATGGAATCCGGATCCCCTGAGGTACATACAGAGCCTCTCATAAAAGCGGTTTGAAAAATCAAACCGGTCGCAGAGGCTCCATCTAAAAAGCAACTTTCAAGACAAGTCAGAAGTCAGGGCCAGTCTGCCACACCAAATCACATGACAAACCTATTCTTCCCCACGCACCTGTGGGACACAGTGCTAAATGCCTGCGTGGGTTGGCTCGCTGGTTACTCACATGGACTTCTAAGGAAACATAGGGAGGGCCCTGGCTGGGTGGCTCAGTTGATTGGAATGTCATCCTGTACACCAAAAGATTGCAGGTTCGATTCCTGGTCAGGGCACATACCTAGGTTTCGGATTTGATCTCCAGTTGAAGCAACTGATAGATGTTTCTCACATCAATGTTTCTCTCTCTCTCTTTCTCTCTCTCTGTCTCTCTCTCTCTCTCACTTTCTCACTCTAAAAATCAATAAACACATCTTCAGGTGAGGATTAAAAAATAAGAAGAATAAGAATAAGAAATATGGGTACGTTTGTTACACCCATTTTACAGATGAGGAAACTGAGGCCCAGAGAGAGGAACTCACCTCAGATCACCCACTTCTCCATGGCAATATCTGAAATTCAAAGCCAGGCCAACTTAGGCGGTTCCCAGTTCCGATTGTGCGGCCCTGGACAAATCCTCCCTACTACCTCCGGCCCTCGGCTTTCCCGCTGGTCTGTGGACGGTGGGCTGTACCAGTCCTTGCCACAGTGTGCTTTCAGAGGTCACTAGGCACCTGAGAAATGGATGGAGGAGGGGGTCTAGAATTCTAGAAGGTGCCAGATGGAACAAAATTATAACCAGGTCTCCTTACTGTGGGACTTCCCAGAGCCTTGAGTCTGTTACTGCGGTTTATGAATCTTTGAGAGACGGCCTTGTTTTATCTGACCACTTGTGAGTGTCCAGTTCCAGGCAAGTGTTTGGATGGTGATGGACGAGAAGATTTCCGTTATGCCTCCCACATTCCCACCCCCGCCCTGCAGCCACCAGCCAAGAAACCTTCCCCACTGGGCCACTGGGCCAGGCCTGGCCAGGAAAGGGACTGGAAAGCCCCCGAGGCCTTGTGCCCGCCCCTTCTCCCAGGGCCTCTGCCTCCCTGGTAACAGCGCCTTCTTTAGCTGGGCCAGTGGCTTCCCAGAGGTGCTGATGTCCACATTTCTCCCAGGCTGCGGGGCCTCCGGTCTCCCTCTCCCCCCAGCCTTCAGATGAGTCCTCTCTTTTGTTTTTCTTTAATCATAATAATTACATTTTTTGTATTTACAAAATCAAATTATTTCCACATAGAAAATGTAAACAGGAAAGCAAAATAAGAAATTAAAAATCACTCATGATCCTTCAACTGCCCCTACTAAATAGATATTCAAATGATATGCAAATTAAACTTCAAGCCCCAATTCCTTCCAATACCTTCTTTCATCCCGATGCCCCAGGACTCCCCTTATGGAAATCAGAGAGCCTCTCCTCACTAATCACCCCCCCAACGCCTGATTTTCAGAGATAGACAGGGAGACTTAGCTTCTGAGGACCAGTTCCGTCCCCACACATCAAAATTAAACCACAAGCTTCACCTCCACATGGTACTTTTACAACTCACAAAGCAGTTCTGTGACTTGCTCTCATCTGCTCCTCACAGTAACCCAATACTCAGGATGCTGTTGTCACCCCCATTTCAGAGAACAATAAACTGAGGCTCTGAGAAAGGTAGAGCCAGCAGATGTCAGAGCAGGGACTCAAGTCCAAAGGCCACATACTTGCCTCTGGACCTTTGCCCCCGCTCTGCTAAGCTGTATGACCTTGGGCACATCCTCTGACCTCCCTGAACTTCTGTTCCCCATCCACCAAATAGTAATAATAGAAGCACCTGCTTTCCAAGGCTGTTGAGAAAGTGAAAGGCGCTGAGAAAGGTAAGGTGCTTGGAACAGGGGCTGACACCGGGAAAGCGCTGTATGAGTTTGCTGTTCTGATTCTCAGCCTCCTCTCCTGTACAGTTCCCAAGATGCCAAGGGTGCAGAAGGGCTGACTCAGAGGCACTGGCCTGTCCCCAAGGGAGACAGCCTCCAGAAGCCAGGCTTTGGGGAGGAGACCAGGGAGCCAACAGGACTCCTCTGGCCACACGCCTGCGTTAGAGCTGGGCAGTTGGTGGTCATGGACTTGGCAGGTCAGATTGAACTCTGAGAGCATCAGCACATTCACAGAATAGCAGGCCCTGGTTAGTCCCACACTCCAGTTTCAAAACGATTTCCTATAAATGCGCCCCTTTCCGCCCAGCTGGGCAATTTAGCGAAACAGATCAAGACTCAGAAATTCTAGAACTTGGAATGTATCCTAAAGAAGCCATCGGGCCGGGTGAAAAGACGTAGCTGTGAGAACGTTCAGCGCAGTGACATTCTCTCCAATGTCAGGGTCTGTCTCAGTGCCCGACGCTGGGGACTGGCTTCGTGACCTCACATATTCCCGCAGTGAACGCCGGGCAGCCGCTGAAAATCCTGTCGGAGACTATCTGCCGTAATACAGAAAAATAATGAGAATGTATCAGCAAGACATAAAAACAGGTTTCAGCCCTGGCTGGTTTGGCTCAGCGGTTAGAGAGTTGGCCTGCGGACCAGAGAGTCCCAGGTTCGGTTCCCACTAAGGGCACGTATCTCGGTTGCAGTTTGTCCCTGGCCCCAGGTGGGGTCGTGTGGGTGGCAGCCACTCGATATGTCTCTCTCACATCCATGTTTTTCTCTTTTCTCTTCCTCCCTTTCTCCCTCTCGCTCTATCTGAAGATAAATGCAAAACAAAAACAAAAAAAAACAGGTTTCAAGTGTAACGTACACAGTGATCCCATTTGATAAAATACATGATGTCCATGTACACTATATAACATGTATGCATTCCTAAGTAACAAAGAAAAGTCTGGCACATATACAAAAATGTCAGTGGTTTTCTCAGAGCTATGGGATTCTGGGTGGTTTTAATGGATTTTTTTGTCTTTATTTTTGGCATTTTCTAACATATGCATGCATTATCTTGTAATCAGGACAAAGTGATTAAGAAAGAAGTAATGAATAATAAAAAGCAATTAGTAATGTAATCACCTATAAATTGTCAGTTTTCCAAAATCTAGACTGCGGAAAAACACGATACCCCACGCGATTTCTCAGTCTAGATTCCCAAGCCCCTCAGAAGAGTGTCCCTGTGTGAATAAGGGTTCCTGGCCCTGGAATGTGGCCCCACAAATGAGAAGGTGAATGGCTCCTCTGGGCACTAATCTTCATTTAAAGAGAAATTTCTCAGCGGTTCTCAACCTTCCTAATGCCGCGACCCTTTAATACAGTTCCTCATGTTGTGGTGACCCCCCCCCAGCCATAAAATTATTTTCGTTGCTACTTAAAAATTGTAATTTTGCTACTGTTATGTCTTAGGCAACCCCTGTGAAAGGGTCGTTCGACTCCCAAAGGGGTTGCGACCCACAGGTTGAAAACTGCTGAATTAGAGACTCTCTCTCCATTAAAACAAGGAGAAAAGAATGAGGAAGAGACAGGAGGCTCAGAATTTGTTACATAAATTGCAAGGTGATAGCAGTTTGGACCCCGGCTTCCTTGTAATTTCATCTTTTTCCTTCCTAAAGAAAGAGAGAAAAGTAAAAACCCTCCCCTGCACCCTGGGGCAGGTGGAGTAGGTGGAATTTCACAGCCAGGTGCCTGATGCCATTCCTTCAGGAGCGCCCCCTTTGGGGAGTCCGGTGGTTTTGTTAGCAGAACGAAACCTTATTGCTAGATGGTTCTTTCAGTACCAGGTACAGGTAACATGACTCTGAGAACCAGCTGGAATCTGGGACGGGCAGAGAGGCCTCAGACCCCAGCACTTGCTTAGATTCAGAGAGAGCTAGTTCAGAGCCCAGGGCTGCCACGCCCCTGCTGGGTGACCTTGGACCCAGCACTGGGCCTCAGTTTCCACAGCGGTAACCAAGGGCGAAAGAAGCCCATCCTCGGAGTTGGGAAAGGGTTCCATGAGTTCTGAAGCCAGCCGGGGTCCAGCTAGCGCTACTGTTTCCCCACCACCCTTGCTGGGGTGTGAGCCTCAGGGATCCACTGGCTGGTTAGGGGGGTAATTGTCAGTCGCAGGACGTGGATGGTACAATGCAACATGTGGCCCAGTTTCTGTGATTTCCTAAGACAAACTTAATTGTCTGCAGACAGCAGTCAAGGCCCACTGTCCTGTCCATTGTCTTATTTCATCTCAACAGCCTGGGGGATGGGCTCAGATGAGGGACCCGAGACACAAACACACTGGAGCCTCTAGCCAAGCCCCAGGCCACACAGTGAGGCAGGGCGGGGCCAGAGTTCCAGGCAGGCTCGTCCTCAACAGCAGCCTCCCAGGAGACATAGCTCCTAACACCTGGCTTTCCTCCCTCTGCCAGGCAAACACGAGGAGAAGCAGCAAGAAGGTGGCATCGTGTCCAAGAACTTCACCAAGAAAATCCAGTAAGTTACCTGGCAGTGTGGATGCCTGGTGGGGGTGCAGGGTGGGGCAGGTGCCTGGGACCCCAGATCTGGGGTCTGTACCCTCTTGCGCTTCTCTCTTGTGAGACATCCCCTGCCCTGGGGTGGGGAATCGAACCTTCACCCTGAAGGGGAAAAAACATCACAGCAAAGGAATCATGTGAGCAGCAGAAGCCACCAGCCTGAGCCGATGAGTCAAAGCCACACTGAGGCCCTACTGGCAACACACATAGGAAGCAGCCGCAGTGCTTCATGGACACACCCCTTCTCCAGGCAGCATCACCCCACTGTGTGTACTGGCCCCAAAGTCTTTGTCCACCATGGTTGCATTCAGCCTCTGTTGGCAGCGGAGGTGTGCAGACGGAAGAAGAGACATCACCCTCCCTGTATTATGGAGAAACTGAGTCTCCCACGGGTGAGAGGACACACCCAAGGTCCTTCCAGTTAGAACTTAGCCCCAAATTGCTCCCTGATGGTGATTCTAGTCTTGCGGGCACCACTGAAAATACACTGAGATCGGGGCGCAATGAACCGCACAGCAGTTCCTCGTAGGCAGCGGCTTGGTGTGACTGTTACGTTGTTACTGAATCTTACCTCCACCGCAGCTCTAGCGAAGATAGCCCGCGTCCGGAGAGATTGCAGGAGCTGAATTCCTGGGCTCCTTGCAGCCTCGGGATTCTGCTCGCCTGCGTCTGCCCCCACGTGTCCACGCTGAGCGCCCGGGGCCTCCGGGCTCGCGGAGGCCGGGGACACTTCCCCATAAGGCAAACGCCGAACTGTCTTTGCCCTCACTGGCTGGCCTGCCATCCCCGAGACCCACACCTCCCCGTGGTACAGCCAAGAGGGGGAAGAAAGGGGGAAAGAAGGGGGAGGGGAGCTGATGTTTCTTTCAAGAGGCTCAAATAAGGTCTGCTGGTGGAGACACAGGCAGGGCCAAGCTGGGGAAAGGCGGCAGAGCGATCGTTTTACAAAGATGGCCACTGGGTGGATTTCCCGTCTCTGGGGCCTGGGGAAAACAGCTTGCTAGGAGTTACTTGACCAGACAGGAAAGCTGAAGCTGCCTGAGGCAGGGCTGCTCTTCAGCTGGGCCCGGCAGCTGGGAGGGGCTGGCTGTTACAATATAGGCCTAGCCATTGTCCTGAGAACCCCCACGGTCCTCCGCAGCCAACCAGCCATCCTGACCCTGACCGGGACCCTCTGAATCTCCCCACGTCCCAGAACTAAAGAGTCCCCAGGACCCTCCCCCATTGCCGTGGCATAAATCCATCCATTCTGATTGGTCAGTGTCCACCTGCCTGTTGTTAAATCTTTTTTTTTTAATCCTCACCCGAGGACATTTTTTCCATTTTTTGTTCAGATAGAGTGGGAGGAAGAGAGAGAGAGAGAGAGAGAGAGAAACATTGACATGAAAGGGACACATCGAGTGGTTGCCACCCGCATGACCCAACCAGGGCCGGGGACAAACTGCAACCGAGGTACGTGCCCTTAGCAGGAACCAAACCCAGGTCTCTCTGGACCGCAGGTTAATGCTCTAACCGCTGAGCCAAACCAGCCAGGGCTGTTGTTAAATCTTTTAACCTCACCTCTGGGTGTTGGGAGTCCTGGCTCCGCCTAAACTGAGCTTCTGTTCTCTGTATCTCCTCACGGGTGGGTCATGATGAGGCCCCAGAAGATGTGTGGGAAGCATTTAGCACGGGGTATAGACTCAGGACTCAGTCCGTGGGAACTGACCTTATTAAGACCTCCAAACCAGGTCACCTTGACCAAGGCTATTGCCACCTCTGGGCCTTGGTTTCCCCATGTGTAAAATGAGAGCATTGTTCTGGACAGTCATGAAGATTCTTTGGGGCTCTGACATTCTGTGCTTGAACGATACCGGGATTTGCGCTAAAATACTCACAGCTGTTGGGGTGCCCACCTGTACAGCCCGTGACCACAATAACAGTGTAGAAGCTAATACTTACTGAGCACTTGTGTGTGCCAGGCACGTAATTCTCGCATCACCCAGAGAAGCAGATGCCAGACAACAGTTATTATCCCCTTTTCCTATAAGGAAATAGGTTCAGGGAGGCGAGATCACTAGCCCAAGGTCACACAACTGGGAAAAGGCAGAATTTGAACTCAGGTCTTCCTGCCTGCTCTGGACCACAGCTACCCCGTCACATTGCACCAGGTGTCCACTGGGTTGGCATGCGAACGGTTAAACAGAGTTGGCCCATCCCCAGCAGCCAGGGTGAGGTCCAAACTTCGTCTTGTCTCTGCTTCAGAAGCTTGCTGGGCAGCTGCCCAAGTTCCTCCCTTCTCTTCCCTCCTTCCCCGCAGGCCCCCTGCTAATGACCATGGCTCCGAACTGGCTGGCATCTCCTGAGTAGATGCCGCTCATGTGGCTACAGGTTGCTTGTTCACGGCAAAACACTCCCCAGCCCGCCAGGAAATGCCCTGACCGTGACCAGGAACGGGCTTACCTCACTTCTTGATTCTTTCATCAAGACAGTAACTTTGCAGCAGGCAGAGCTAGCCTGGGCCAGGAAGGCTCCGTGGTGATGGAACCTTCTGGCTTCCCCCCGATGGTCCTTTACTTCAGAAGTCTGGTGCCAGAGAGGCAGAGCATCCCCGTCAGCGACTCCGAGTTCAGAGACCGGGATTCCAGTTCCATTCCCTGCTGCTGCTTATCAGCTGTGTGACCTTGGGCCAGTCACTTCACTTCTCTGACCTCGATCCCTGTCTGTGAATTAGGGACCGTGATAGATCTCACCTGGTGGGATTATTGTTAACAACTAACTGAGAAGATTCAGGTGAAGTACCTAGCACATGGGAAATGCTCGGAGGTCCTGGTTTTTGTTACTTTTATTAAGAATGGCATCCCACAGAGGTCATGTCATGGTCTCACAATTCCAATCGTTTGTTAAAGAAACTATGCCCCAGGTAGCCTCGCTCACCCCAAACAATCCAAATAATCATAAAAATAGCTTTAGGCCCTGGCTGGTTTGGCTCAGCGGTTGGAGCGTCGGCCTGCGGTACAGAGAGACCCAGGTTCGGTTCCCGCTAAGGGCACATACCTCGGTTGCAATTTGTCCCCGGCCCTGGTTGGTCGTGCGGGTGGCAGCCACTCGATGTGTCCCTTCACGTCGATGTTTCTCTCTCTCTCTCTTCCTCTCTCTCCCTCCCGCTCTATCTGAACAAAAAATGGAAAAATGTCCTCAAGTGAGTATAAAAAAAAAAAAATAGCTTCAGACCTGGAACCAGATTTAGATTCAGAAATCCCATCTTTGATGCTTGATTTCTCACTCCCTGGGCCTGTCATGTAATGTCTCCACGTCTCTATCAAATGCCCTATGCAACAGGCATATGAATTCCTACCTATTAACCACGCGGGGCCCATCGTGAAGCTCTAACCAGGTAATGGCTATAAGCATGTGACTCACCTACCTATGCCCTGTAAAGGGATGGTTGTGGTGACCATTTCTGCCAGCAGCTGGTCAACTGTGGGTGCTAAGTGGGGAACTCACCCTAGGATCAAACATGTGAGCCATGGCTCCCTCGTGAGTCACTGTTGGAGCAGCATTTTACCATTTGCAAAGCGTGTTCACATTCTTTGCAAAGAATTCTAAAGCTTCAAAGACTGTCCACGTGTAATATAATGATTTCCATTTTGCAAAAGAGAAAACAAGCTCAGAGTAATTGAGTGATCTTCCCAAGATCACACGCACAGCTAGAAAGAGGCAGAGCCAGGATGCACACCCATCATTGTATACTCCAAAGCCTAAGCTCTTATCAGAAATATTTCCTTTCAAAGGAATAAAAGAATGTTTCGGCTGTATTAAAATAATAAATGAATCAAATCGTGTGCTTCTCCTAGGCTTCCTGCAGAGGTGGATCCTGCAACAGTATTTGCGTCGCTTTCCCCAGAGGGCCTGCTGATCATCGAAGCTCCCCAGGTGCCCCCCTACTCGACATTTGGAGAGAACAGCTTCAACAGCGAGCTTCCCCAAGACGGCCAGGAAGTCACCTGTACTTGAGACCCCAGTCTTGACCCATCCTTGTCACCCCCCGCAACCCTCAGGGCTTCTCTGATTCCAGGGTACATTATACATTATTTTAGCTGAACTCATAGATTAGTGCGATTAAAATGTTGGGGGTCCAGGTAATTGTCCAGTCTCTGGATAGTGTAGTACTAGGTTTTTGCATCAGAGGGCGCAATAGGCAAGTCACACTGGGTGGCGTTAGGCCAAAATGCTGGGAGTTCTTCTTTACCTTTTCTATCTTGATAAAAATGTACATTCAGTAGTTGCAAAGCATATAAAAGGGGACATAGCATGTCACATTGTATCTTACCTTGCAACTAATGCAAGAATTGCTTTTCTCTGGGGACCGCGCATCACCCAGATTCCTATCCTGGGCTCCTAATGTCCATGCCTGCCCCTGGTTGATTGATGGAGCCCATGATCTCACCCCACTGTGGCCTACAAAGGGTGATGGGCAGGTCTTACATCCCCAAATGGGATTTATCCAACAGTCACATGAAAACAAATAGTGCCTTCTGCCCTCCTCCTAGGCATCCATAGCACGTTCCCAAGCTGACAATCCGAGGACTCTGGAAGCCCCTCAGTTTATCCTGGCTAAAGTCCTCCTTTCTTGTGTCTCCTATGTCCTCGTCGGGATTTTTACAGAGGGGGCTGTCTCCAGACAGCTCCACCAGGACCCAAGCAAAGGCCAGACAGCCTGGCAGGCAGGAGAGTGCTATTGTGCATATGGGTGGACGTGTGTCATTGTTATTTGAATTGTGCTGTTCTTTAGGGAAAAATAACAGTAAATAATAATAATTAAAAAAATAATAATAATAATAAAGGAGCTGATGTTCTTAGCCTTGCGTGCTTCTTTTGATTGAGGAATTAAATGTTATACCACTTAGATTTTCAGTATCAGTTGGGAATGCTCAAGGCATAATAACACCCAACGAACAGTTGCTTAAATGACGTAAACATCTATTGTCTAACTTTATAAGAAATCTAGCTATAAGTGATTTCACACTTATTTTTTCAGCTGTTATGCCGCACGCACACAAAAAAACAACAACAAACAAACAAACAAAAAAAACAACCAAAGTTTTCCCATCTCTTTCCTCTTCCGTCTCTGACAAATCTACCAAGCCTATCCTCATGTTTGCAAAACGGCTGCTGCAGCTCCAGGCATCTCATCCTCCTGTGACAGTGTCTAGGAAGAGAAGGCAGGGGTAAAGGGGCTTTTCATCTGCATTCTCTTCTGTCAGTTCAAGAGCTGTCCCAGGAGCTCTCAGAAGACTCATTTTATCTCAGTGACCCAAACTGGGTCCTATGTTTATCCTGAAGCCAATCCCTGGCAAAAGGGAAAGGGATGACCATAATGGGCTTAGGTCAGTACTGATCTATCCTCTGAGGCCAGGAACATTGCTGCTTGAATAAAACAAGATGCTGTTAGGAGGGAAAGGGCATAGCAGCTGTGTGGGGGGTCAGCAGCACAATGACTGTCACAGACAGATGCTGCCAGGGGCACAGACCCACGTTCAGGCTTCAGGGAACCCAACTCAAACCAATTTAAGCAAAGGGGTATTTATTGGTACATATGGCTGAGAAGTGCAGGATGAAAGTTCCTTTCAGGCTCCCAGAGATGTCAACAGAAGTCAGTTTGTCTCCATCTCTTGGTCCTGAGGTGCTGGCTCATTCCTAGTCCCCCTGATGTCCCTGCCTCCCCCGCTCCTCGTCCTCCACGCCCGCGTGACCTCTCCTGTGGTCAAGATGTCTGCAGTCAATACAGCCCTGGACCCTCCCACATTCCAGTCCCCAGCGGGGGTGGAGAAAAGCCAGTCTTTTCCCATAGTTCTGGTCATATGCCCAAGAATCATTCTTTTTGGACCAGCTTGGGTGTCACTTGACCATCTTTGAGCTGCGGCCCATGAAATCAGTGCTTTGGTTGGCCAGGCCTGGGTCACATGCTCCATCCTTGGAGCCACTGCCATGTAATCCCACATCACCTTAGGAAGTAGATAATATTTTACAATGGAGAAACTGAGGCTGAGAGAGGAAGGGTGTCTTGGGTAAGTCACCGGTGAAGGCAGAACTCGAACCTAGATGTTTGCTTTTGGAAGAGTTAACGAGGAGCTGCTGGGCTGCTTTTCAAGACACCTCCAAACCCCCAAAAGACAGCAGAAATCAGAAGTGTTCCCTGAGAACATACTCTGCTAGATCCTGCGCTAGGAGCCAAGGATATAGGGACCAATGGGCCACATTCCCTGCCCACCAGACTCCCAGACCAGAGGCAAGCAGATGAAAGAACACCAGGCCCTCACCAAGTCCTTATGCGTGCCAGACACTGTACTGAGGGCTTTCTTTATATGTGTTATAAACTCAATTCTAGGAGGTAGGTTCAACTTATCTCTATTTTATGGACAAAGTAACAGAGACAAGGAAGGGTTCAGTGTCCTGCTCCTAATCACAGGCCTGGTAAGCCCCAGGCGAGGCGGTCTGACCTCAGGACCTGCACTATTAACCGTTAATGACCCTGTCGGCATTTCTCCCAACCAAGCAAACTGGAAGTGTGCCTCACGTGAGTCCGTCCACGCCGGGGGAGGAGAGAAGTGATAGTTCCAGTTGGGGCTTTGCAGGGCGTTGGGGAGTCAGGGATGGCTTACAGAGCAGGGGATACTCTGCCAGATTTGCAGATCAGCAGCGTTGCAGGACTTGAGCAAACAGGGGTGGGTGGGGAGATGCCTCACAGGCAGAAGAAAACACATGAGCGAAGGCGAAAGGTATGTCCCCGGTAAAATCCTCCCGGGGTTCCCCCTTGTTCAAAGGATGGAGTGCAAGCTTCTTTGCAAGACTCACAGGGCATTATAGATCTGTCCGCTGGTTACCTCTCTCCACCCACCCCAGCCCCCACCCCCACCCTCCAGCCCCACTAACTTCCCTCTGTTTTTCCAACCAGACAAGCCCTCTGTTGTTTCCAGAACTTTGAACACACTGTTCTCTCCCCAGGCATTACTTTCTCACCCTCTTCATTGGTTAACTCTTTAGGGTCTTTCCACGGAAGAATGACCAAACCTGCAGAGGATTTTTGTAAGAGGTTATTCGAGCCCAAACTGACAACACATGCCAGGAAGCAAGATCATCAATGCTCCGGAGAAGGACGGTTTTGCAGCTTCTTTTACACACTTGAAATTAAGGAGGGGATGTAAGGAAGAGGACATAGAAGTGGGAGGAAGCAAGGCAGGGACTGGATCAGTGGACAGTTAACCAGACCATGTGCCCTCTTGGGGGTGGTTACGGCTTATTTCAAAGGTGTGTTAACCTAGATGCACAGAAACAATGGACAGGGCTTGCTCAAGGCAAAGATAAACCTTTTACTAAAATGTTATACACCTGGGGCGTGACTACCCATCAAGACTTGCCCAGTTAGGAATTTACAATAAGATCACCCTGTGAAGCTATTTCCTATAAAACCCCATTTTTGGCCACAGGTCTCAGGTGGGATTCCCACCAGGCTGTCGAGAGCCCCTCTCCTTCCCTATCCTAACAGCACGCCCTACAACAACCCGGGTATTTGTGCAGCAGAATAAATAACAGGCCCTGGCCGAGCAGCTCAGTTGGTTAGAGTGTTGTCCCAATACACCATGGTTGCAGGTTCGATCCCCGGCAGGATACATACAAGAATCAACCGATGAATGCAGAAGTAAGTGGAACAACAAACTGATCTCTCTCTCTCTCTCTCTCTTTCTCTCTTTTTCTCTAAAATCAATTTTTAAGAAGGGATAAATCATAACAACAGTCATAAAAACCCAAACGGACCCTAGCTGCTCTGCTTTCAAGCCAAGGAGAAAATCCCTCCTTATTCCATGTTTGTAACAAATATTTACTGGGCGCCTACCAGGAGAAGGCACTGTGCTGGGTGTCGGGTTACAGCCTCTTTGGACTCTGAGAACCTGGGGAGAGAAGGAGGAAAACGAAGCTTTTATTTCGCAGGTTCCAGGCCACTGAATGAAGGGTGAGACCCAAAGGGGTAGAGTGGAGACCCCACCCAGCAGCAGGGCCAAGGCCAAGGGCCCGGAGGACCACATGGATTTGCCCAAGCAGGGTCTCTATAGGAGTGGTGAGGGCTGCCCTGTCGTGAGAGGTGACCAGTGAAGAATGCCAGGTGGTGGGTGGACCCAGAACCTAAAACATGTTGCACAATATTCAATTCTTTGCATTGTGGTATGAAACTCACATGCCAGTCCAAACTTTAGGGAAGGCTGATGCAACCGTGGATGCTTTGTCTGGGTGGTCTGGGGACAATCCAGAGCAACATGAGTAAAGAGGAGACTTCTCCATGGGCAGGAGCCTGAAGGGAGAAGGGACCATGAGCATGAACCTCCTGCGACATCACTGACCTCCCGGCTAGGGCACTGGATGGAGGGTGTAAGTTTTATTTCAGTATCTCAAGAGGGCCGGACTGTTTCCCCGGGAAGACCACACATCCCACAAAGGCAAGGACTACATCTCGTTGGTCTCCACTGTATCTCTAATTCCCAACACAGTTCCTGGTACATAGAAGGCATTTTGTATTCCCCAGATGAATGGATCAATGAATGCTCTGAACAAATAAAATCCAAACTCCTTTCCATCACTTCCAAAGTCCCACATGTTCTGGCCCTGTCACCTCCCAAATCCATCTCCTGTGGCTCCTGCTTTTGTTCATTATACATGGACCTCCTTTCTGTCCCTCAAACACACTGTGCTCATCATACTCACCCCAGGGCCTTTGCACTTCCCATTCCTTTGGGCATGAATACTCTGCCCCCAGCTCTTTGCCTAGCCACCTCCTTCTTACCACAATTTCCTCAGGTTTCCCCTCAAACTCCACCTCCCCAGAGAGGCCTAACAATAGCCTCCATGTGATCCCTGACTGTGTACTGACTCCAGAGCCTTCGCAGAACCGGGCCCGCTTGGTTGCAAACACACATGCGTACGAAAATCTAAGCTGCCCTCAACACACATCATATCCATGTGATGTGAACTGGAATGCAAACTCCAGAAAGAGAGGGAAGGGGCTTCCTTTTCTTTGTCTTGTCCTCCACTGTGTCTTCTATGCTGAGTGTGATGTTTAATGCATCATGAAAAAAAACGTACTGAATGAATGGATGGATGAACGAATGAATGATGAGTGTGAGTCACCCTGGGAAATTAAGCCAAGGCGTGATCTCAAACCCCAGATACTCGGCTCATTTCCATTTGGAGAGTTTCCGGCTTCAAGACACAAGCTTTGTCATCAAAACAGACGACGTGGCCCTTCCCGGGAGATCGCCAGTGAAATGGCAGAGGAGTGTCCTTCCTGGGCTATCACTCCGATGATGATGCTGAGACAGGACACGCGGAGCGTGCATCCCCACCCCACTCCCTGACCAGCTCCCCCGAACGTCTTATCTGCAGCCCAGGTCCACCCCTTCCCAACTGCCTGCCAGCCAGGGGTGATATGTGGAGACGACTTGATTTGACCTTGAAGGGAAGAAACAAATTCATGTGTCTCGAAATAAATTCCGGGAATCAGTGGCTGGCTTCTCCTCCACCCCCGCCCCTTGGTGCCTCACGAGTCCTGCATCATGATGTGAAAATCAATACTGTCTCTTAAATGAGCCAAAACCTGGAGCTGGAGAGGGAGAGGCGACTAGGAAGGCCCCTCCCTGGCCCAGCGTCAGAAGGGGTGGGAGGCTCAAGGGCTGCTGTGGCCCTGTCTGTTTGCTGAGGGCTGGCAGAGTCACCCCATCTGCAGCAAGGTCAGTCCACTCAAGCCCCGCTCCAAGGCCTCCAGGGGGTGAGCAGCTGTGGGCCAGATGTT